TGAGGAACTACCAGAAGCACTGAGGGTCTTGGCGATCAAGGTGGATGTCCCTTGCAGTACATTGAGCTCAAGTTGTTTAGGGCTTTGTGAATTAACACAAGTACCTTGAAAATGGCCCAGTGGCAAATCAGCAAGATGCATGGCAATCTCAGACCCTCCAAGTGTCCCTATTTTCCAGGGACAGTCTCAGATTTACAGAAGCCATCTCATTTTCTGATTTGATCCCAGAATGTCCCACTTTCCCTTAGGATGTCCCTATTTTCATTGGAGAAATGTTGAAGGGTATGGAGTTATGCGACCCCCAAACCAGGGAGATAAGTAACTATACAACCTTTAGAAGACATCTGAAGGCAGCCTTATTTAGGGAAGTTCTTTTTAAAAATGTTTAATGTTTTATTGTTTTTATATATGTTGAAAGCCACCCAGAGTGGCTGGGGCAACCCAGTCAGATGGGTGAGGTATAAATAATAAAAGTGTTGCTGTTGTTGTTGTCGTCGTCGTCGGTATTAGTATTATTATTATATTTTCATCAGATAAATGTTGGAGGGTACACCCAGGTATTAGCCAGTTTCCTTTGAGTTGTGTCCAGCTATGTCCTACTCATAAGAGACTCACTGAAATGAATGATCCTAAGTTAGTCGTGCCCATTAATTTCAATGGGTCTATTCTGAGTAGGACTAGCATGGTTTTCTATCTTTGTGTGCTCAATTATTCCATTTGGGGCGGGGGGGGGGGGAAAGGATATTCCGTTGTTGAAGAGTTAAAGGTGAAATCAAATCTCAAGTTCCTACTGTCAGCTTAGGTGGTGCTTAGCTATGAGTTGAGGAAAGAAGTCGGTTAAGATTTAGGGTGGGGGGGGGAAAGTGTGTGTGTGTGTGTTTGTGTGTGTCAGGAAGGGTATGGGGGGTGGAGCACAGAGATTTCAGCCATTCCATGGAATACCTTTCCTAGCCCCAGGGCGACTGGAAGTAGTATATTAACCAAGCAACAGAGGGAAAGAGGGAAAAGGCCAAATCACATTTCTTTGAAACAAAGAGCCTCTTTTCTCCCCCCCCCCACCCTCCCCCCACCCCAAGGAACATGCTCTGATCAAAATTACGGTGTCTTTGCTAGCCATTTCATCCCACCCAGCCCGAGGCAATATTAAAGCAATGAGGAAATAGGGGGATGCAGTAGGCCCTGAAGAGTCCCTGGAGCCTTTTGCATATAAATAATCCTTTTTAGAATAATGCACTAGTTTTAAACAGAGCCAGGTTCTCCGGGTACCTCCTAACAGTGGATGGTGATGGTATCGTTACTGCTATTATTATTGCTAGCGTTAGGCATGTTATTTATCATTTTTATTTATTTGAATATTTATGATCCACACTTTTGTAAAATGCACCAAGGTGGCTTACAAGACAACTTACAATTAAATAAATCAATTAATATATTTAAAACTTTTTTCTTTTACAAAATCAACAAAACAGCAAGGGGGAAATGTAGGGGGAAATGAGCAATTTACAAGCAAGAACAAAAAAGGTATTGTTTCTAAAAAGTAGATTTTACAAGACATCTAAAAGAAGGCAGGGGTGGTTCCTGCCTAACTTCTACAGGCAGGGAGTTCCACAGATCAGGGCCCATCACACTAAAGGTTTGCTGCCTAGTGAAGGTCAGCCAAACATTGGGTGAATGTCCTAACCTGGGTCCCATACACCAGATGTGTCCCGTCAGAAGATGTAGGTCATGGACTTAAAACTACTCTGCATTCCAGTTAAGATTGGGTGAAACCCAGCTGAGAACCTTTGCTAGACTTGTCAAATTTTGTGGTGGTGGGAGAGCTTAGATTTTCTCAAAAGTCATTCACACATGCGGTCTAGGAAAGGACCTCCAAACTTAGCTCAAGCCTCATTTTCAGTGCAGAATTTAAAATCCTGCCATGGCTTCCCTCCCCATGAGCTTCAAATTGATCTTAAATTTTGCATACTCAACTCCCAAGTTCAATGCCTGGCTTCTCCTCCAGCGCTACTGCCAGCCAGTGTCAGCTATACTGAACTAGATGGAGCACTGGTCTGACAGCATCAGGCAGCTTCCGATGTCTCTATGTCTGCTTTAGGCAGACTTGGTGGCAAAAGCCAATCTTTGGTCCTAAAGGCAAGAGCATAGGGAGCCCTCTTCCGAAAACAACATCCATAGAGAAAACGTTTGGTGGCATTATCACTGAAATATACTTGGAGTCAAGAGTGGATTTCATGCTCTTTATTCAGCTCATAGTGGTGAGGAAGAGGAATGGAAGCTCCCCCAAAATGTCTGCTTTATATACATTATTTACACAATGAGCCCACGTGATTGGCTAATTCCGGGATTCTCCTGTAGGCCAATCAGGTTGTGGATTCACTTCCACCTGGAGCTGGATTGGGTGGCTCCTGTGGACCAATCGGACTGCTGCATTCTGAATCCTATTGTTCTAGGACCAATCAGACTGCTGCATTCTGAATCCTATTGTTCTAGGACCAATCAGACTGCTGCTTTTTGGATCCTATTCAGCTCAGTACATAACAATCACATTTTCACTGTCCTCTCTGCCAGCCTTCCCCAACTTGGTCCTTTCTAAATGTTGCCGGACTCCAATTCCTACCACCCCACACTGCTGTTGGCTATCCTAGCTAGTCCAATGGCATCGTGGGGTGGGCAGCAGGTTGGAAAAGCCTGAACTAAAGAACTAAACTTGGTGGGGGTGTTTCTAGGGTTTTCTGCACACAAAATATTGATGAGGAGCTGGAAAAGAACTCTTAGTAACAGGTGGGTGCTTTGATTTCCTTGGCCTCCCCCCCCCCCGGGAAAGCTAATACAAACTGAATTGATTCGAAATAGGAGGGAAGAGAATGTGCTCATGTCAGTTTACCCGGTGTACCCACTGGTCACCTTGCAATCCCAGTTTCACGTGGCCCTTAGCCTGGTTTTTAGGCACAACCGTCTCTGTTCAGAATAGGCCCCCAACCCTCAGTGGAGCATTTTGGGGGGAGTTGAGGGAGGCTGCTGTAGGGACTGGGAAGTCAGTTTCCTGGAGCTCTCTATGGCCTCATCTGAAAGTGGTGTCATACCACTTTAAACAGATGTGGCTTCTCCCAAAGGATTCTGGGAATTGCAGTTTGTTAGGGAACCCCTATCCACAGAGCTACCATTCTGAGTGGTGTAACAGGCAACTTTCCAGGGAATTATAGCTGGAAAGGGGCCTCCTAACAACTTTCAGCACCCTTGAACGGACTACAGTTCCCAAGGTTCTCGGTTCTTTGGGGGAAACCATGTCTGCTTAAAGTGGTATGATACTGGTTTAAATGCACAGTGCAGATGGGGCCTTAGGTGTGCTTATCTCTGGATGCAGTCTACTGAATCAGAACAGAAAGGGAGCCCATTGACTTGCCAGGGTATGACAAGTGGTCAGAAGGATGGATGAGGGGAGATGCGCTGATCCTTCATCTAAAGCTCCGTCCAGACTCCATCTGTGTATATGGAGCTCCTGCTAAGCAGAACAGTCTTCTTAATTGATCCACTTTGCTGGAAGGGGCATTTCCAACATTTTGTTGTTGTTGTTTAGTCGTTTAGTCGTGTCCGACTCTTTGTGACCCCATGGACCAGAGCATGCCAGGCACTCCTGTCTTCCACTGCCTCCCGCAGTTTGGTCAAACTCATGTTCATAGCTTTGAGAACACTGTCCAACCATCTCATCCTCTGTCGTCCCCTTCTCCTTGTGCCCTCCATCTTTCCCAACATCAGGGTCTTTTCCAGGGAGTCTTCTCTTCTCATGAGGTGGCCAAAGTATTGGAGCCTCAGCTTCAGGATCTGTCCTTCCAGTGAGCACTCAGGGCTGATTTCCTTAAGAATGGATATGTTTGATCTTCTTGCAGTCCATGGGACTCCCAAGAGTCTCCTCCAGCACCATAATTCAAAAGCATCAATTCTTCGGCGATCAGCCTTCTTGATGGTCCAGCTCTCACTTCCATACATCACTACTGGGAAAACCATAGCTTTAACAATACGGACCTTTGTTGGCAAGGTGATGTCTCTGCTTTTGAAGATGCTTTTGAAGATTTCCAGCATACCTCCCCCCATTTGCAAGTGCCCAGCTGCCCCTTGTATTGAAACAGATAAGTCAAGCCTTGTGCATGGAAAAGGGGGTTTAGCATGAGCCCTTGAGTCTCTTCACCCATGAGAAATCAGCAGCAGCAGCAGTATTTACTGTATTAGTCATTCAGCTATGGAAAAAAAAATAGTTTCAATGCAACTTAGCAATAAAACCATTTTAAAAGTTTAAAAAGACATGCATAGCTCAGTTGGTTTCGGCATGATGCTGACAGTGCCAAGGTTGCAGGTTCAATCCCTGTAAGGGACAGCTGCATATTCCTGCATTACAGAGGGTTGGACTAGATGATCCCCAGGGTCCCTTCCAACTCTATGAGATAAAATGCCAAAAATGCTGATTCAGCAATACGGTGAGAAGGAGAAGCCCTGCCCCTCCCCATTAAAAGACGAGTGCCACAGCCTGTGTTGACTAAACCACCAGAGTAATATAAAGTCTCCGCCTGGCACCTAAACACAGTGATGGCACCAGGCATGTTTCCCCTGGGAAGAGCAGATCATGCACATGGGGGCACCACTGGCAAAGCCCGCTCTTATCCAGCTACCCTGCGCACTTTAATTTTGGCCAAATTAAGACTGAATTAAGGGTCTGATCTCATTCCCAATGCATCCAGGACTAAGCATTATTATACGCATACCAGCTTCCTTCTGAGTCGACACCTGTAGCATTGTGTCAACTGATAAGGCTGCAATCCTGAGTCCGCTTACTTAAGCCCCATTGGATGGAGCGGAGCTTACTTCCGAGTAGACATGGATAGGCTTGTTCTGTAAGAGAACAGAGCTAGGAAATTCAACTGGATAGTTCCAGACATAATTTGTTTTTGTTTTTTTGTTAAGTCATGATCTGATCCTGACATTTGGGTTTCCCCTGTTTTTCTCAGTGGTGAACATCTGAAGGGCAGACATGGAACATAGAAGCCTACTTTACACCAGGTCAGACTTTTTGTCCAACTAGCCCGCCATTCTCTATTCTGACTTGGGGCGGCTGCTCCGCATCTTGAGGCAGAGAGGATTCCTTTCCCATGCCCTGCCACCTGCCACTGGTGGAGCTTGGTTCATTAGGGCAAATTGGGTCCTGCCCTGCCAATCTCAGCCTGTCCTAACCTGTGTTGCCTTCTTCCTTACAACCAGTCAAGGAATGGCACTGCCTGCCATCTTCCTCCCGCTTAGCCCCAGTCTTGCCTTTTGTAGAACTCCACAGGGAATCAGTTGGCTCTGCCTGCCATTTGCTCTGGCGCCACCTACTGCTGACCTCCCTGCTTTCCATCCTACCAGTCCTAATGGACAAGGCAAGCAAAGATCAAAATGGGTGTCTCTCCCACTGAGCTCTGATTCCTCCCCACGTGGCACACGTTGCACAGTTAAAAATATCGCACAAGTGAGAAATTCAGTGGCTTTGCTGAATTCCTGAATGTCCCCCTCCCCAAAAAAATATCTTCATTTGGGGATTAGGTCACAAAGATCTTTTAAAAGAAAACCACCACTGCAACTCGGCTCTTGGCGATTCATTTTAGAGCAATCAACTTGCTACAGTCAATAAATGTCTTGCTTTTCTTCGTTTTCTTCTAAAACTCCCAAATCCAGCAATATCCCTAATTGAAAATGCTTTGTGGTAAGAGGTTTTATTTTGGGGTGGGGAGCGATGGCAGAGTAGGTAGGAGATGAATTAGGAGAATATAAATGAGATTTTTTTGCAAATAACTGTGTGCTTCGAGAAATAACTCTCTTGCAAACGTATTTTGGCGTCGAAGCGCTGCGATAATTTGGGCCCAGAAACTCCCGCTGAACCTAATGTCAGGGACGAAGCGAGTTAGCCGTGAGTGAAAGTATCCACTGTGTGTGTGTGTGTGTGTGTGTGTGTGTGAGAGAGAGAGAGAGAGAGAGAGAGAGAGAGAGAGAGAGAGAGAGAAGAAATGGCCTCAAATTTCTTTTACACAGCCTTCTAAGACATGGTGTGTGTGTGTGGAATTGTAAGGTTGGAACGAGCAGGGGTGGGTGGTTGATCTGGGAAGGGGAAAAAAATCTGTCCCACATTGTTAGGTTAAAATGCATCCCTTCCCTCTTGTAAAAGAGTTCTTCTTTTGACATCCACCTCACGGCTCAGCCCTCTGTCCGGCATTTATCCTCCCAGCTCCCCTTTTATTCTGCACTGCCTCTGGCTGCTGGGGTCCGTTTTGATATCTCCGCTAACTCCCCTTTCTCTCACCTAGTGCCAGGGGGTATGTTTGTGCAGGGCCCTCTAGGAGATATAAGTTGCTATCGATTATTTTTAATATTTAGCATGTTTGTGAACATGCCTTAGCCCCCTCTCCAGCCCACCCTATTAATCTACTATGTTAATAGCGCCAAGACTCCTGCTCTGGACCCCGGGGAACCGCAAGTGAGGAGAATGACAATGAGGCAATGACAACAGAGGCGATGCTTGCGCTTGGCAGGGATGCGAATTCCCAATGCAGGCTCTCTTTGGGGAGAGTTTGAAATTCTTTATTCTTCTTTCTTTTTTCCTGGAGTTTTGAGGGCCAGGATTCAAAGGCATACTTTACACTATCTGCCATTTTCCTTCCTTTCTTCTTCCTTTCTTTGGAAGGCCAAAGGGGAGACAAATCTAATTTGCTCAGCATCTTTCATCTAATATTTCGAAAGCCTTCACATTCCATCCCTTTGGGAATATTTTCCAAATTTTAGCTAGGTTGCATCTTTTCTCTGCCCCCCCCTTTCCCGGCTCCATCCTCCCCCCCCGCCCTGTTTCTTTCTCTTTTCTTTCCCGTTTCTATTATTTTCGTACATTTCCACCTGAAAGAACTTCTCGCTGAACTGGAAACTTTGTCCATGCTTTTATCAAAGCTGACATGGCAGCGTTTCCAAAGAAAATAGCACAACTTCTCTGGGTCTTTTCTTCCTCCTCTTCTTCATATGTGTATGTTCCCCCCACCCACCCACCCCCAGTGTGGTTTCTGGAACTTTTTTGTGTTTCCTCCAAATTGCTAATGAACGTTTCTATGAAAAGCTCCAGAATTTATTACGTAGCATCTATTTTCATCATGGTGTAAGGGTTGAATGAGGGTGAGTTCCCACTCCAGACATCTCTCTCTGCTTATCTGTCTTCAGCCCCTGTTCAGAAGTCAGTCTTTTTGACAGTCCACTAGTGGCCCTTTGCTAGCAAGGCTATGTGTATTGTATGTTTGTGTATTGTTTGTGGGATGGTGAAATCGGACAATTTTTTGGTGTCTCATATCTCTAATCTTAAATTCTCTACAATTCCACATCAGTTTTTGTTGTTGTTGATGATGTTTTTATTATGAAAATTCCCCAGCATTTTAGTGTGAATCCCTCCTGATAGCTACATTTTCACAAAATAATCTCCCCTAACATAATGTATTTTTGGTATGTTACTTTCAAGAATACATGCCTTCTTATGCAAGCTATACCCTGATATATGCGTTTTTTTGGTACACATCATTTGGTCGGACAAATGCATAGCAGAATTCAGAAAAGTGCAAATTTTGAAGGATTATTGTGTTTTCGTTCAAGTATTGTGTTGGAAAGCATGAATTAGGTAGGTTCATCTTTAATCGAGAAACGAATCAACTTTCTTCCCCATTGTGGGCATCTATATCTGCCAATATATGTGCCTGTGTCCCTGTAGCAATTTTAACAAATACAGGAACATAGTTTTATATTTTCCTTCCTCAAAAAGAAGCAGGAGAAGCCATTCAGTCTTTAAGAGAAGGTGATATTCCGGGGGGGGGGGGAGAGATTTCCCCTACATTTATTTCAGACCTGCAATCTAGACCTGAGCTGCAATTTCCCAGGAAAAGAATTTTCTGGGGAACATCTCTAGACTTTTTCTGAACTAGCAGCATTATTTTCTTTCCATATGATCTGATCTGAAATTTCTCAGAAGGGAGTTTTCTGACAGTTTTGTTTTGACACATATAATCCATGACGCTGCTTGAATTTATATAGGTATTATAATTCAATTTTCATTTTTGAAAAATCTGGTGAGGATAAATTATAATATGCACTGCACCCGACTGTTCAACTGCCTTGCATGCAGTATTTGAACAGAAGAAGAGCCATGGGGCTGGATCAGGCCAAAGGCACATCAACTTCAGCATTCTCACAGTAGCCACCCAGATGCCTCTGCTGAGAACAGGGATGGATTAATCTGCCAATTTTGCTTTCTCTCCGTTTCTCATTTTCCCAATCATTTATTTTTTTTTATTTCAGGCATTTATATACTGCTTAACACCCAAATTTTCTAAGCAGTGTTATATTAAGATCAAATCAATACGTTTCCACATTAAATTGCAATATTTTTTTAAAAATCCTCCTGAAAATTCACCAGCATTTTAGTACACAATATACAAATTTGCTTTTGCAAAGCAATTTTCTCTAATGCAATGCATTTTTTCGACATGTCGTTTTCATTAATATATGCATTTACATGCACACTAGGATATTCATCACACACACACCCCTTGAAGTCTAGTTTTCGATGGATAGCTGTGTGTTTGGTTTACACCGTTTTTTCAGGAAGCACGAATTAAGTAGGTTTGCCTTTAAATGCGATAGGAAATGAAGTTCTCCCCCATCCTTGGTTAGGAAGCCCATGAACAGGACTTGAGTACAACAGCAGCTGATCTTCAGAGGCATCTTGAGCGTTACGGTGTATAGGCGAGAAACTGGACAGGGCTCCTGTGCCTGTAATAATTGTGCCGAACAGAAACTTCATAGCACGGTGACAGGACATCCTACCTACAGCAGCCATTTAGGCTGCCATTCTTGCCCTCATAAAGCAATTAGGGAAGGGGGGCTGAAGTGGAAAGATGATGGATTACCCACTGCTTAGGACACTTCTCGTGTAGCTCCATGCACGTGGTGATCTAGAAGAAAGTTCTCCTGAGTCTGAATGCATTTACTCCCATGTAAACCTGCAGAGAACTGCGGCCTTGCAGTGCAGTCCTCTGCATGTCTGCTTGGAAGTCAGTCCCATTGAACACAGGGAGGTTTACTTCCAGGAAAATAATAATAATAATAATAATAATAATAATAATAATAATAATAATAATAATTTATTTGTACTCTGCCCATCTGGCTGGGCCTCCATAGCCACTCTGGGCGGCTTCCAACAAAGATTAAAAATACATTAAAATGTCACACCTTAAAAACTTCCCTGCGGTCCAAGAATAAAAATGGAAATTGATCTTTTAATAATCTCAGAGCCCACAAAATTTTTTGTCTGTACTCAAAGCATCCAAATTGGCTATATTTTAAAAAGCAACCTATCCATCTATTAAACAGAAGTCATGCATCCTAATTTATGTTGTTGTTGTTGCTGCTGTTGTTTACTAATCAACTTGCAGTGCTCCTTAATTTCCCGCAGTAATAGTCACACACACACTTTCCCTTCTTCTTGAGTTGTAAAGCAAATAGCTTGTAATTCCCTTCAGCTGAAATCCCAGTGGACTTCACCTGGAGGACTCCACCTGTCCATGTTTACTCAGAATCAAAGCAAAAAATATATATAACAGAATGCTGTGTTGCGCCAATTTTAACCAGGCTTCCACCTAACTAAATTCCACTGCATTCATTGGGATTCATATGCATGCCTGTGTGCGTACAGTTGCAGCATATTTGTCCTGGTAATACTTTTGCCAAACTGCATTCAGATCCAAGGTTTTATCGGAGCCTGTTATCATGATTAAATGATCTAAATTAAGGGCACTTCTAGACAACCTATTTATTGAGCATTCATCCTGATCTGTTTGCAGGGCGATTAGACCAGTGTTTCCCAACCTTTTTTGGGCAAAGGCACACTTGTTTCATGAAAAAAATCTCGAGGCACACCACCATTAGAAAATGTTAAAAAATTTAACTCTGTGCCTATATTGACTATATAAAAAGTACAGTGGTGCCTCGCAAGACGAAAT